CCTTCTATACATATCCAACCCAAACTTGAGGTTCACAATTGTACACACGTATGTTTATACCGTGCACGTATCAGGCGACTGCCACTCAGGCGGAAGGGGAGAGGGACGCTGCCCTGGCAGAACGGGACACTCTGGCCCAGGCACTGGCCACTGCAAAAGACCATGTGAGCACTGTGGAGGCTGAGCTGGAATCACTCAAGGTATTATTGTTACTCACAAGGGGTTGTATGTATAGACAAGTGTATGCGTGCCTCCACGTATTGTGTTGTGATATACTTGAGGGAGATCATATATGCATGAGTTTAAGTTAAGTTAAGGATGTGCATTATAACGCGGTCATTGCCGGATTCACAGACACACGCACAATGCGCACAGGCTTATTTATACCACGTGATTGGTATATGGATTAATAATACCACGTGATTGGTACACGGATTAATAATACCACGTGATTGGTACATGTATTAATGATACCACGTGATTGGTACGTGGATTAATAATACCACGTGATTGGTACACGGATTAATAATACCACGTGATTGGTACATGTATTAACAATACCACGTGATTGGTACACGGATTAATAATACCACGTGATTGGTACATGGATTAACAATACCATGTGATTGGTACATGTATTAATAATACCACGTGATTGGTACATGGATTAATAATACCACGTGATTGGTACATAGGTTAATAATACCACGTGATTGGTACATGGATTAATAATACCACGTGATTGGTACATGGATTAATAATACAGGAGCAGGGAGACAGCGGTGTTTCGGATGAAGATCGCGCTCATCTGAATGGGTCATTGACCGCGGCGGAGGAACGCGTAAACGCTTTGGAGGCTGAGCTGGAGTCATCACAGGTAAGGTCGTTCAGGTGTACAGCATATATGTAACGTTGTATGCCCAATAAACGGGGTACCGAACAGTGAACAAGTAACCTTTAGGCCGAGGCAATGAGTTCATATGTGGGTTCGAATAGGCTAATGCCTTGGTTACATTAACAGCCACACACGGCGCACCAACAAAAACTATCAAAGAAAGTGATAGCTGAAAGTTCTATGTACTCTGGTCACCAGCTGGCAGTCACGCAGGCAGAGCAAGACAAGCACGCGGCGCTCGAAGAACGCGAAAGTCTCAACCAGTCAGTGGCCACAGCGGAGCAACGGGCGAGTGCGTTGG